TTTATCTTTCACGATGTGCCTGGTTTAATGATAAACAGTGGAATAGATCATTGTCTTATCATTAAATTGATATTGTTAAACTTGAATAATAAATCATATAAAGATTCCAAAGCCCTGCAAGGAAGTCAGGTTAGTTTAATGGGGAAGTGCTTGCTCGCTTACTAACGTTCAGGTGATTGATCCTGAAGAAGGGGGGCGGAGGATGTGTGCGGCTCCCATTTACGGATTTAAGATGGCGCTGATGGGGGGTCAGGGTAAGTTTTCTCATCTAGGAAAGCGAAGATTACATCGATGCTATTATGGAAGAGGAAGAAGAATACATTTTTCATTTTTTATCGTCCTAGTGGAGCATGCCATCATGCCCCTAATTACACCATTGCCAACATGAGTCGAAATAATACCATTGGAGTTCTCCGCCATAGAACGTGATCCACACAATATAAATAAGAAGCATAACTGTATGCTAAGGTTTGCTATCTTCGTCTTCACAAAACATAACGGTAACAATAGTAGTATGATGAAATATCTGGCAACAGATTGCACATTCATTTGACAGATGAAAACTCAATAAAAGCAAAATGTTATACATTACTCTATACATCATGGCCTACATTTGCAATTCTTGTCATTTTTCTCAACATGACATAGTTATAAATAATTCGCATATTATACCAGACTCTATAACATTATAGAAGAGAAATATGACATTTAATACGTCAGCAATAGGCCAGATATTTTAATGAAAGAAGAGAAACTATGAGAGAAGTGGAAAAAGCCCAATCTTGCCCTGTTTTCTGTTAGAAAAATGTTACAATGGGTTTAAAGATCGAAATTATGCAAATCTTGGAGTTTTGTGTCAGTTGCAGACCTAAACATTCTGATAATTATTTAAGGATTATGAATGCTCAATGGCGGAAGCTGAATTTAAATGCCATCAACCAACCAAACATAAGAATATAACACAAAGATTCAGACAGTTTTATATATTCTAGGCAGTTCTAGGTAAAACAAAATGCATTCAGAACATATAACCCACCGCTTCTGGAAAGGGATGTCAAAAAAGCCTTTGATTGAATGAATTTAGTATAAAAAAAAGCATTTATTACAATACATTTAAATGTATATGTAAAATAAAGTGATAAGATTGACAAAAGGAGAATAACTATAAACTCTGAATAAACTTCAGATATATCTAAGATAAAATAATAATAATAATAATATATATGCCAGGTATTTTGAATTCAGTCAGATGTTAAATTAAAGAGAAGAAAAACATACACTTTACTGTTCTTATTTTACAGTTTCCTTAGTACATTGACTTAAAGTGATTTATTCCTTAAAAAATTCAAGAACTGTCGCCATAAGATAGACCCAAACGGTACCCATATAAAACAATATTTCCAGATCCCGATAGAACAACAGTACTGATGACGGTAGTGCGACAATGGGACTTCCTCTGAAATACACCCTAGCTTCTGTTCTGGAAAGAGAATATTAATATGGCGGTAATTACAATTATAGCCTATCAGGGGTCTTGACAGAAACTTAATAAACAGTCATAATGTTTACAGTCTTTCTGTTGAGAGCTGTATTCGCTCGTGTACAATCCAATCAAATCATTGCATTCTGTGATCCAAGAAAGGTAGCTATTCAAGGATAATACGAAGTTCGAAATAACTTGAAATTATCGATAAGAACAACAAAATTAATATTTTGAGAGAAAAGAACTTAATTCTACCTTATCACTCATCTGAGATTTTACTCTCTAATGCTCGTCCAAAATAAACCAGGTGATAATGATTACCATACTAATTAATGTTTTAATTCAGGTATAATAGCTTTACCAGATTGTTGATGATTTACTAAGATGTTTTCAAATTTACGTTTTAAAGAGAAACGCTGAACATTCAGACAGAATTACGGTAATCGTTTGTACAAGGTAGGCCTATCATTATGATATAAATGATAATCTGTGACAACACATGTGCATTTGTGTGTCAATTCTCACACCATATCCTAGAAAGGCCACTCCCAGATCCCCATGCAGTTTTGTCGTTAAAAATTTCCCTTTCATTTTTCTTTGGCTGGACAATGACACTACAATCAGAACCACCTCATGTCAAAATATTCCATACTTGTGGACTATACGGTGGACCATGCAGTTGCTAGACAATACCTAAATGGTTACAAAGCAATTTCAAAAGTGGCCCGAACTCTTTATAGTATTTGTACATTATGTTCATCTACATTTGAAAATGCGATTGGTGTTAAATATCAGGTAATATTTCAAGACATATCCGTTCAAAACATATCTTTTTCAAATATTCAAGAGCTTGCTGAAAAATCTGAAGTATCGTAAAGAGAATAGAGGGATGAAATATGAGAAAACAGAAGGTATTTATACATGTCAAATGCGGCAGAACAAGATTTAATGCAACAGAAAACCTCTTGCATACCTTCACGTAAAATTAGAAAATCATTTAGAAGAAAAAGTTAAGAAAATAATCAGAGCCTTCTGTGTAAAAAAAGTTGATGTATATACAGATCGTCTAGAAACAATTTTAACACAGTTGGAAACTTCTCAAAACCCCAATAGCTAGATAATTCACTTCCAAATAAAACAGTTAGGTCTGATTAAATTTTTTGTAGCTCATAAAACTAAGTAGAACACTAAAAGAACATGATTTATTAAAGATACCTTATTGAAAGCTTTCTTCAACTCATTAGTTGTGAACTCGGACTCAAAATTCAACACTTTTACCCAATTTTAAGTTTCGTCACCATATCAACCATTTCCGAATGGGCTTCAATGATCTCTGTCATTTATAGGGGTCGATCATTAACAAAATAATATGTAGTATATAGTCTTGTTGAAGGCAATCATAATGGAATTTGTATTTTGGACGCTATTGGACTAAAATATGTTTCCAATCATTATTAATATGACAATATTCAAGGTTTTTGTATTAATGAAAATCGCTGAGAAGAATTACCTCTAGGCACGAGATACATGGGTTAGGATTACAAGACAATATAAACTACAATTAGAAACAGTCAGTTGGGTTTATTAAGAAAATAAACATTTAAAAGAACAAGGTAATAAGAGTATAAAATGGTATATTTACCAACCAGTGAAAGCTATCGAAGGATAAACAAATATGTACAATAAAACGTCTATAGGCTAATAGAAATAGACATATTTTTATTGCATTATTTCCCATCATGTAGCCTATTCAATTTGTAGGTATTATTTGTCGATGATAAAGCCCTGTTATTACAACAGATTATACAGAATATTGTCTTTATAATGACCATCACATGCGTAATGATTATAGAACTAAACAGTAAGAAGTCTATATTATACATGGCGTCATCGTATTCCATTTAAGAAAAGTCTTCTAATTGTTGTCTTGAATTTAGAGGAAAGCCCCCATACTTTATAACTTTGGCCGAAATATTATTTTCCTATTGTGTTCTGCCCAGATCTCAAATTAGGCCTATGAATTTTCACTATTTTTGACTTAAATAACTTTAAAAATGTTAAAACCCAAACTTATCAGTAAACCTTTTGGAAAGATTTACAAAACTGAACAAACTATCAATGTAGAATTGATGTCTAGCTTTGATATGGAAGAAATAGTTATCATATGTTTCTCAGGAATCAGATATAATGAATATATAGGAAAGTGTAAAGGAAGTAGGATTCTCTAATCATTCTAATTACACAGAATTAATGTTTATTTTCAGAACATGAACAGTAGATTATTACCAGATCTTATCAAGGGCGTTCATACTTGCTCTTTGCTAGCACTTCGAACCTCAACTGAAAGCAAGGGAACAGATTGAGGAAACCTGATGCTGTTTCGCCACGAGCTCAAGGTTAGGTCCAAACACTTAAGTAAATTTGATCTCAATTACAATATACTATATACCTAGTGCTATACCTGACGTCACTCTGAGGCTAGGTTATTCTACTCAGCATTAGTTTCAGAGATCCATCATAGTTTATGTGGTATTTTGGTATCACTATTTCATGATTTTTTCACCATGGATTAGCTGACGGACTTACGTCCATGAAATCATCGGGTCATCGGATACCTGAGGGTGGGGTGGGGTGGGGTGGGGTGTTGAGGGAGTGTCGAGGCGAAAAGGTATTCGGTTTTCTTGGAATGGGAGACAACGACAGGAACATTGTTTTCAATCTTCAATCTGTTAGTCTTCATTAGCAAAACAAGATGCAGAGAAGAAAGCCGTAAGACTCCATTCTAGTAATATTGAAGATATCAAAGATGGATAAATATATAATTAAGAGATTTAGCCACTAATTAGATTTGAAGAGTTATAATTATATTATATTACATTGGATTAGTGTCCCCCACTCTCTGAAATATTTCTGAAAGTCGAAAGAACAGGAAGCTACCTAGATTCCCTTTTATTTGATAAAGATGTTTAAAAAATGTTATGTAGTGCTGCCAATAGAGAGAATGGTGATACAGGAACTTTAGTTGCCTCCTTGAGAAGTACATAGGCTTTACATTGTAATCAGCGTAAGCCACATTAAAGTTGAACGTTCTAGAAAGTATTACTGTTTATTTACATGTAAATGATATGTTTTCACATAGCCTTGACTGTGACTAGAAAATTGGTTTCTAACGAGAAACGATCTTATCATGATAGATTGTACCGATATCTTAGTAGTCATAAAACAGATCAAGGTATCAGCATGTTATTAACGGGGAATGATAATGATAATAAAGCACTTGTAGTATAAATATTTATATAGACATGTATAGAGTACATGTGGTGAAGTAGATGTCCATACAGGAAGGTGACAATTGCGTAGGAGTCTGTGCTGCTGTATCTATTCAGGCATTGATCAGAAATAGATTTGGCAACACAATGTTTTATTCTGGGGAGTATAAAGTACCGCCTCATAGAGTAATGATATCGTCTTGTAGACTGGCAGATACAAATTGCTTAAGGTGCGGGCACACGAGCGGTCTTGGTCGGAGATTTTTGTAAATCTCGCGTGTGCCCGTACTTCCACGACAAGATTATCGTGTCGCCGACAAGATTTGTTATATCAATCAAGTTTGGTAATCGCCGCCGATAGTTTTATCGTCATATCATCCAATCAGATGATTCCTTTATCTTCCAATTGCATGCTGTGCACGAGATTATCGACATGGTGGAAAACGACCGACTGGAGATTTTTGTCTCCTCTTGTGTCCGTGCCAGTCGTCAAACCTCAAGACAAGGCTCTACTCAGCGACAAAAGTCTGCCCGCACCTTTAGATTGACAATGACAAGCAGTCTAGGTTACGGCGACTCCTCTTAGAGGAAATATCAATGATACATTTGCTCCCTATAAATGTGATATGTACCCTCAATTTCACCGCCACTTCATTTTTCGTAAATTGAAAATATGATTGTTATACAATTTTGTGCTCAAATATGTGTCAGAATGCATAGTATGTTGGGGGACAACCCTCTCAGCTGCAACATTTTGAATCTCAATCTTGACAGTTGTCCCCCTATTGACAGTTGTGTCCCTATTCTGGCACCGCCACTGTATAAGGCATAAAATGATTCAAGATGGAATGGAATGACAAAACGACTCCCATTTAAATGAAGTAAAAAAAAATCAGCGACGCACTGAAAATCATTTTTGCTGAAGTTGATGAAAAGGTAGTTATCTATATCCGATTTTCAACGATGATGATTTAAAGAATTTTTTTCAATTTCAGCTGTTAGAACTTATGACAATTTTACACGTTTAAATTAAAATAGTCAGACAAAGTTTTAGGAATGAAATGAATTTGATTTACTTCCGACTGTGAAAGAAATTACAGAGAAATTCCAACATTATAAAAAATGTGTGAAGACGGCGAGTTATCTATTGGCTTGAATATTAAGATGTTATTTTGGCTAGCAATCAACAATAAACAGATAAATAAAGCCCCAGGATATTTATTATAAAGATACACTGAAA